GGAGCCATGGGGGCCTTAAACAAGTCCCAAAATATTTGGGAAGGAGGGGAAAGAATGAAGATCAAATGAAGGTCAAATCAGATCTTTTTGTAGAGATCCAATTTTCTTCAACAGAGCAACTTAAAAAACAAAACAAAACAAATCAAGTGGCAAAGGGTGCTCAGCCAGCCTCTTTCCTCCCTCCCCCCCCTTTGGATACCCATTTTCCATATGGATTCAATAGAGCCATAGGAAATGGCACGTATGACTTGCAAGGAAAAAAAATAATAAAAAAGCTTGTAAGCAAGCAAGTTGGCAAACCTCCTCAGCAGAGGCAAATCTCAGTGTTTAATGATGCATGTGCACCTCTAATTAAACAGGAGTTTAAGAGTTTCCAGGTCCCTCTGAACTCCACAATTTGCTCGTGCCAGGGGAGGGAAGAGCACGTCCTGCTCCTCTCCACCTCCTCTTTAGCAACCGCTTCCGAACAGCCCCAGATCCTCAAACTTCGCTGTTTATTCACCAGATAAGCTGCTCCAGGTGCGGTTTATATCCCGCAGGGCCTGCTTCTCTGAGATGGCTCTCTTGATCTCCTCCAGGACCAGGTTGAGCTCCTTGGAGCGCTTCAGGCTCTCCTGCTCGGCTGCGTGCAGGCGGTCCCGGAGGGCGAGAAACTCCCGCTGGTAGATGTCCACAACGTCACCTGGGGGTGGGAAAGAGAGAAGCTTTCTCCTCCGTGCTCCAAAGAGCTTCAAGCCATCATACCTCCCCTACTTCCACAATCCTTGAAACATGGATTTAGGGAGCTGTGGCCTGGCACGCACCCCCCGGCTGTGTGGGAGGGAGGGCAGTTTAACCCACAAAGCTCCAACTGAAAAGCTATTCCCATTCTTCTCTTTGACTTGGGTTTTTGGGTCCTGTAGGAATATGACCTGGTTCTCTGTGACCAAAGCATGCAACAAAAAATAAGTTGCATGGTCTTTATATACTCAGAAAAGGGGAGTCTGCATTAATTTTGAGAGCAATATTCTGCCTCTCTCCATAGCTCCAGAAGTTTGGCTGCGTGAGACGGCGACTGCCAAGGCGAGCAGGGGGGCAACCAGAGTCAAATGAAAAAGAACTGAGAGCACTGGTGGTGATTGCCTGTTAAAACCATGATAAACCTTAGGAATAACAATATTTTTAACTGCCTTGCTCCTTGCTTTGGTTCCCTTATGGTACACAAAGGAAAGAGCTCTAAGAGCACATGTCAAAGAGGGTTCGAGTGGGTAATGTGGGAGATTCCCTGGAGAGTATCTCAAAGGCCTTCTCCAGATGGCACGGGGTGTCTCCCAGATGACCCCAAGAGATAGAAGGTGAGATGATGGCAAGGGAGACGTTGCTCTGCAGCAAGATGAGGGCAGGCACAGCACCTCCTCCAGCTTTGGAAGAGAGCTCCAAATTCTAACAGCAAAAGGGATTTTGGGAACATGACCTCTCCAAGATAAGGCAGGATCAAGAATATCACACAGCAATAGCTGCCTGGATGTTTATATAGCTACAAGTGTTTGGATACAGACCTTAAGGAGACACTATAAATGTCATATATATAAACTTTTTATAGGCTAATATAGCTTTTTATTTTGAGACATCTTATCAGCATAACCATCTTAAGCAATAAAACATTTGAGAGCCTTCAGCCAGAACTACCTATACAATAGCTGGGAGTGGAATTGGTAAGCCATTAATGAACTTTCCTGGGCTGTTTTTTACCCCATTACTAAGGAAACTACTCATTAAAAATACACCTTTATCTGCAGCCACTCATGTGTTTTCAGTAAAGGCCATAACTCACAAGCCTATACCCAAACCAGATTTAACCACTGAATAGCAGACCCTTAGCCCAAATACAACCAGGACAGTTAATGACCAAAAATACTGTGCTGGAGCTTCCTGACCCCAGGCTAAATATAAATCAGAGCCATTGAAAAAAGATACACTGACTGCATCAACAACTTCTATTTTGGGGTCCATAAAGAAAAAGAAACAGGGATTTTGCAGATCAGACGTACCCAGCTCCAAAACACAGAGCTTCCAAGACACAGTGCTTCCCAGTCCAGCTCACAATAATGCTTTTACCTAGGAACAGTTTCCCCCATGGGGTCTTCCCCTTCAAAAAACACTTTCTTCAAGACACACCTACAACACAAGGGACCCCCCTGAGGCACTTTGGCTCCTTTTGACCTTTCAGCATTATTTTCAAAGCCACTGGCACATGGGGAGGGAGCAGAGGAAGTTACACCCATTTGATTACCCTGTCCATCTGACAACACATTTCTCAGAGAAAGTCGAGGGACAGACATAAACAAGGCCAGTTCTTCCTTTTTCCCGTGTGGTGCCACTCACCCTCCACTCCCATCAAGAAAACATTTAAAAATTTGCAGAAAAAAACAGGTTGAAACCCAGCTTTGGGAGCTGCCAAGGGAACTCACAGGGGGGTGTCAGGCTGTAAACTGACTCCACAATGAGCTAGCCCTTTACCTGCTGGTACCTCTCAGACATAAGGAGATACCTTTCAGCTTCCCAGTACTCTAGATTCTGGGTTCTCCTACTTTTTTCTTTTACTAGCTGCATTTGTGAACATCAGCAAGGAGCAAGTCGTGCTTCCAGTGCTTGCACTTAACAATGGCAGGAAGCATGTTTGTGCAAGGCTGGAAGCCTTTGGTTCTTGGATTACCAGGGGGTTACTATCCCATGGATGCTACCAAAGCCAAACCACAGGTAAAGGCTGCCACCAGATCTTGTGCTGCAATACCTGGAGCAGGGTAAAGGCAAGGCTTTGCACTTAATGCTTTTTTTTTTTTTTTTTTCCAGAGCTCTGCACTTCGTTTGTGTCAGATTTAGAAGGGAAATGTCACTGATTATTCAGTCACTAATGACCTGCCCGCTGAAGCCAAGAGCTGTACTTTTCATTAGACTGCAATGGTGATGTGCAGTCAACCATTTGCTGCTTTTCTGGCTAATGGTTGGAAGTGAAATTGTATTTGTTTCCAGTGCTCTTGTCCTATGATGTCTTTGCAGGCTTTCCATTCTTTAATTAAAATTTCATGAAATTTAAAAGCTGATCGATCGTGGCCGGTTCCGGTGGCAGCTTCAACAGCCTGACACAAAGCCCAGGATGGGTGTACAGTTTCCCATGGATTTCCAGTAATGCCATTTTGCACTCGTTGGTCTGCAATGACACACGGATGTGGGTCTGCTGTCCTCATCCTTGCAAAAACCCTCAGCTGCTCAGCCAGGGAGGGCTCTGAAAAGCCACAAAGGGCAGCAGGAGGTAAGGAGGGGGGAGAAATTGGCTCCCATCTCTACAAGCAGGGTTGAACATAAAGTGATTTGCTGCTAATTAGGTTGAACAAATTTTTCAGCTAGTGTCAGTTCAGCACAGACCCCTTACTTACCTTTCAAAGCTGCAGGACTCCATATCTACATATTTATTGTTTTCCCTCCTAGTGCAAGATAGCAGAGCTCTTAAATTATCCCCAGACTGAAGCATTGCAGGAAGAAAACTCCCAGCTATTGCTATATAAAAAAAAACAAAACCACTCAGCTTATATTTTCTTGAGAGATAACATACTGCTTCAGGCTTCAAACACCCTGGTTTAATAAAGAAAGTCAGGTGACAGTCCACAGGACAGACCTGGGAGATCAAAAACCTCTGGAATGGGGACTTGCAGCACAAGACTGTGCATGCCCATGCCCTGCAAATAGCACGTTTCACACCTTGCCATGCCTTATATTTGCACTCCCTGGTCTTTCACAAGCCCTCTTGAAAAGCAGGCTGGCTGTGAGGCTCCAAGCCTGCAGCTCCACACCAAGTGCCAGCCCCATCTGTCCATCTCAGTGCTCACTGGAGCAGATCTGGGGGGACTGGTCCCTGGGGCTGGGAGCAGATCTGGGGGACTGGTTCCTGAGCCTGGGAGCAGATCTGGGGGGGACTGGTCCCTGGGGCTGGGGGCACCCGATCAGCAGCTGTAGGAAGTGTCCGGCTCAGCATCGCTCCCTGCTCCGTGGCTCCCAGCCCTGGCTGTGCCCAGTCACAGCTGCCAAGCTGCAGTTGTTTAGGTGAGGGCTCCAGCTGAGATCTTTGAGCAACATGAACTGCTGGTGAAGCAGCAGGCAGGGATGGCTGGAATGGGCTTCTGTCCCAGCAGAAGGGACGCAATGGATAGGGACATGCTGGTGGGGCTCATGGGCTCCACACAGCTCATCTCCTGCAGCCTTCCCAAAGGTTTTCATCCTTCCAAGACAACATCTGTCTAATAAAAAGTATTTCTCCATGATGGAGAATTCTGTGGCTTCATTCTTATTGAAGTGACTATTAAGTGCAAATCATGTCTGCCAACAGGTGAGGGCTGGGACATCTGCACCCGCTCTGCTTAAGCCATGTTCAGTTTTTGAGTGAAAGCAAAATACCTCATCTGAGCCTAAATCAGCACAAAATCAGGCCAGTGCCAATAAAACCTCAGCCTTGAAATCTCATGCAGTCATCAGTATGGATATGTATAGATATATATAGATATATAGATATTCTCACACAGACATCTATATATACACAGTCAGGAATGTTACAATTCTGTATTCTGCGTTAGTCTTTCAAATCACTCTCCAACCTCCCAGGGAGCCTGTGGTGCATTTTAAACATGTCCGTGTTTCAGGACCAATTACTTTTGGTTTTGCTCTCTGCAGATAACCTCTCCCAGCAGAGCAGACTGATGGCCAAAGCCAGAGATTTCGCTCCAATTCAATCTTTTCAAAAACAAATGCAAAGTCTTTGCTAGCTGGATTTGCCTCTCATTAGGAAGACTTTCAAGAGACTTTGTTGAAAAAGTAAAAACAACCCCCAAACCTCTAAACCATTTAAGAAATCTTGTCTTCAAGGGCACATTTTTTGCTGCAAGAGTTCCCAGGGCCAAAAGAGCAGAAATAAAGTGTAGTCAGTTCCTGGTTCAAGATGCACACGGAGTTGTAGCAGAAAAATAAACTGCCTACAGAAAACTTCTCTGCAATGATTATGCTCCTTTGTGTTATTTAAAGCACGCCTTTAATTAATAACAAATCCTCCTCTAGGACTTGCAAGGGTCCAGGGGGACTCCAAAGCACACCCTCTCTATGCTATAGCATCAATGTTATCCAAAAATACAAGGGATGAAGCATGAGGAACCAAGCTGGTGATCCATCCCACCCCAGCTCACCATTGTCTCCACCCCAGCCATTTACAGACACTCCTGGAGTTAGATGATGATTAGGGAATTATATATTTTTTTAATGCTTTGGTGTTTAATGATTTCCATAATGCTGGCACTGCTCCACACATTACACTTTAGATTGCCCTGATTGAATCACAACACTCATTAGGTATTTTGCTAACAGAATTTCACCAGATCATTAAAAGGGATATAAGGGGTAACTGCGCTGTGTCAGTGAATTAAATTCAGCTCCTGAGATGTGAAGAAGGACAGTCCTGCTTTAAATGGAAATCTGATGGGCAGCAATAGCCCACAGGTGTTAAGTTAGATGCCTTGCACACAGCTACACATCTGATGGGCAGCAATAGCCCACAGGTGTTAGATGCCTTGCACACAGCTACAAAGGGTTTGGCAGTAACTCTACAACAAACATTTTGTACCTTTAAAAGCAAACTATTGCCCTCTGCTTATCTGGCCACAGAAGAAAGAGACCAGTTTTAGAGACTCAGCATGAACAAAAACCCCAAAGCATCCCCCCAAAAGCA